TTTCCCTTAAATCTTTAATTTTAATTAGATTATTTTTTAATAGCATTCAAAAAATATATTAATTCGTAAAGGTTTATCTCAAATTGTCTGATTTTGGATCATCAAGAAGGATTGATCTAATATTGCTTCAAAGATGTTTAATAAAGAAAAATAATAATAATAATAAATAATATATCATATCTAAAAAAATAAAAAGAGTGATCATTTGAAAAAAATGTATATATTATTCTTGACATTTTATTATTGAATATTTAAATCTACCTTTACTTGAAGTAAAAAATCCCTTAAAGTGAATAATATTATGAAAATTGACATTATGTAAAAAGTCAAGCTAAAAGATAAATAAATCAACATTACATGAATCCTTAGATAAAAATGACCAAATGTATTTATTTAGTTATTTTTGTCATTACCTTACGAACTATATCATTAACGGCAACACTTTTCAAATTAAAAAGGATTTTAACACAAGATGTTATTTAGAATAATTGCTAAAATGCTTGCAATCGTAATATTGAATTATTCAAATTGCTAATCTCTTAATGGATAGTCTTGTCTAATAGCATAATTTCTGTCCTTACATAAAAAAAATTCAGCTGTTAAGAGTTGAGTTTATAATGATTATTAGATTTTTTAGGTAATAAAAAGCCTTTGGAGATTCAGCCACTGCACTTTATCATCTTTGAAAATTTTAATGGTGATTATGGAATTTCTGGAATCTTATATAAAGTCAATTTTAACTGCTATAATTAAATTTACAATTTACAATATAAAATTATGTCTTTGTCTAAAAATTATTAATTTATTAATTGTTACTAATATTTTCTAAAAGGTTTAATTCATTTTTGAAGAATTTCAAAACCTTTGAAAAATAGATTATAATTTGTCTGAATTGATAAAATTTTATGTCATAGTGTAGCATCAAAAATTGGTATAGTTATAGTATGAATCAGTTAAGACAAAGGAATTAATTTAAAGATATATATGTTCAATAATTGAACATAAAAATTAATTAAGTTTTTGAATTAACTTGCACGCTATCTTTAATCTTAAGAGATTTCCTCCTTTACATCTTTCTTAAATCTCTTAAATCATCCTTATTTTCCTTAAATTTTCACCACATATTTTGCTTGCATTACCTAAGACATTTATATAAATAAATGCAATATATTATAAATTTTTATTATGGGGTTTTACTAATTTGCTATATACTTTATTTATTAATTATTACCATCTATTGATGAACTCTTAAACAAGATATGTAATAGCAAAGATAATGTAAATAAATAGATCCAGAATGTGTAAAACAAATTATTAAATGTGAATAGCATATTTACTTTATCAAAAAATGTATATGCTATCTTTTATAACATTAAAATATAAAAAAAATAAACAAATTACATAAAATAAAATTATTTCTTAAAAATATAATACGAATTTTATGGAGCTTTTGTGGTGAGTTTACCTTCTAGAATATTGGTATCAAAAGATATTACCTTATGAAGGGAAGAATAGAATTTCTTAATAGTGTTATGTAAGACAGAATTTTCGAAACTAGCAAATTTTAATATGCTTTTACTTTTAATATTAACTAAAGAATCACAGCGTATATCTCTGAGATCTCTATAAAAGAATTTTCACAAGATTTAAACAATTATTATTTTTAGGTAATTATTGATTTATGTAGATAAGAGCTTGCTTTTACTATAAGTATATTTGAAAAGTTTAAGGATCTTCTGTAAAAAACTGGATTCATTTAAATAGATAAAAACCAAAATCAATATCAGTTGAAGGATAATTATCAAGAAATTTACTAATTAAAAAATAACAGTCGAGAAGCTGATGAACTTGATTAATGGAATTATTGATAACAGACAGATAGTTCTTTCTACTAAAAGTATATTGATCTAAAATGAGCAGTTTTGCAGTAATAGTGTTAAAGTAATTAAATCAGATAAGCTCAAAAAGACAAATATCAGTATGTACAAATTGATTTACATAACTTAGTATTCTTATTGAATATCCAGAGATGCTCTCTAGCTCTGATAATGACAACATAAAGATGTTTTGAATTCTGAAGAAAGAATATGCTTCTCAGGGAAGAATTACTAAACCTCATAATACACTTTCAAATTAGAAAGAATTACTCATAATTAAATATGAAATATAAATTACTATTTGATGCTTTGAAACAAATTTCATAATATCTTACCTTGAAAATAAGGATAGGTTGATAAAGAAATTAAATAATAATACATCATTAAATTCTATGCCTTTGGCCTCAAAAAAAGTCAAAATTAATCCAATATTGCTGTTTACTATATACCCTTCACACGCTTTTGATCGCTTTATCACGTATAACCAGCTATAAGTTCAATAAATTTATTTTCCTTAGCATTATCATTTCAATAAACAAACAAGGCTTTAACCTCACAATTCTCGATGATGAGAAGTTGTGAACCACTAATCTCACTGAGCTCAGGTAAATAGAATCAGAAAAGATATCTGACGAGATGAGTTATTGATGATTATTATTGAAGAATCCTTTTGTAAAAGCAGTAATTAATGTTTAATTCGAATTCTTTTATTGTCACGCTTTAGATTCTATTGGTAAATCAATACGTATAGATATATTTTAATTATTATTAAAAGAAAGTTTAGAAAAAAGACAAAATTATTTATTCTTAACAAAATATGCATACTCTGAAATCAGAAAGTAGATTCCTTGGCAATGCATGCATTGCGCTACATCCCATAAAAATATTTTCAGCGCAGCCAAAGAGTTTCAAGAAAAGCTTATAAACTATGATCTAATTATACTGACATTCATCAATGTACAGTAACCCAAGAAAGTATTTGCGATTTTGTAATTTTATAGTAAATTAAGTTTAAATTCAATTAAACAATTAATTAAACATCTTTTAATAAGTTTATAAAGCTTTATTATCAATTTATATATTTACTTTATTCAATAAGAACATAAAAATATGTTTTAATATTTCGTATGTCCACCTTTTTCTTCAATTACCATCCCAACCCACTTGGGTATCTATTAATCAAATTAGATAAAGAATTAGATTCCAATTTACTCCACTCTTCTTTTAAGGCTATTTTTAACTGTTGTACTGCTTTTGGAAATAGTTTACGTTGTTGAATTCTATCTTTTAGAATTTTCCAAAGATTTCTATTGGATTTAGATCTGGTGATTGGCTGACCAAGGCATCGAAATAATCCTATTCTTTTCTTTCCATTCACGAGTTTTTTTACTAGTATAAATTTTGGCATTATCATTTTAAAAAATGAGAATATTTCCAAATTCAGTTTCTATAGCAGCTTTAAATTCCTTAAGATGATCATTAAGAATTTTTATATAGTCATCAGAATTCATGCGTCTTTCTTCACAAATTACTAAAAGTCCCAATCTATTACTTACGAAACAATCCCAAACCATAACAGATTTACGTCTGCTTTTAAATGTAGGCCTTAAACAGTTTAAATTATACCGTTCACCAACTTTTCTCCATACTAATTCACGTCGAGAACTTTTGCCAATTTCTAAACTTGACTCATCAGACCAGATAATATTATTCCATTCTGATATATTCCAATTAATATGTTTCTTAACACCAAATAAGTCGTTTCTTTTGATTTTTATCTGAAATAAATGGCTTTTTAGCTGCTACATGAGATGTAATACCAGCTTCATGAAGATAATTGCTAGCTGTTGTTGTTGAAACATTCAAACCAACATTGGCTGTTAGTTCCCGTAAAGGAGCACGTCTATTTTCATTACTTCACGAATAAATAATCATTTTTGACTTTGTGTAGCTATAGGAGGCCGCCTAGGTCGTGGTAAATTTTCAATATTTCCCGTCTTTTATATTTTTTAATAAAAGAACGAACTGTGCTATCAGGTAATTTCATTTGTCTTGCAATTTTAGCATTTTTAAAATTATTATTTAGTTTTAACCATTTCACATTTCGATTAAAGTGGCATTCAATTTACAAAAATGATCAAAGTTTATTAACAAATTTAGCATTACAATATTTCTTGTTAAGGATTTATCGACAATGTAATGTTATGCTAAAAATCGAATTTTAAATTAAAAATTTACTAAAATTACAAAATCGCGAATACTTTCTTGGGCTACTGTACAATGGGTATCAAAAGTCACCGGGCTAAAAATTAGAAAATTGACGAAAGAAGCTATTTCAAATTAAACTTTTTATTTTATTAATTAAATCACCTTTGATGCAATAAGTTAAGTTGTGCATCTTAACGAAATGCACATATATTTTATATTCAGTATTTTATGTAAAATTTTCGTGTATTAATACAAATTTTCAGTTAGAATTAAACATAAAATTTTCAAGTAGTAAACTATTTCCATTTATTAATTAAACTTGTAATAAATCCTCAAAATTTCATACTAATTACATGATAAAGTGTAAAATTTTGGTAATTCTAAAAAGATTAGTATTTCACGTGACTTGTGACTGTATCGATTCGATCTCCACATGTATAAATGCAAATAATTAAAACCTATTAAAGAAAAAATATTTTTTAATACAATAAACAAATAATAGATTACAGCTAAAAAAAATTCAATGTTTTATTAATACACGAAAATTTTGCATTAAATATATAATATAAATTTTACTACTGATCGGATATCTATAAAAAACTTTAACATATATGTATTTTATTATGATACACATTTTTACTTATTTCATAAAAATTGATTTAATTAATAAATAAATAGTTTAATTTGAAAGAACTTGTTTCCATCGATTTTCTAATTTAAGTGCCCAGTGAATTTTGATACACACTGTACACTTCATGAATGTGCGTTCCATCAAACGTTTTGGTTTGCATGTAATATAGCCAGAATTCTACGATAAAAATAATTTGAAAATACAAAACTAAAAAATAAAATCAATAAAATGCCCGTTCATTACCGATCTACCAAATTGAAATCTTAATTCCGCTCCTTCATCTTTCATATTTCATAAATATCATCACGATTGTGACAGAAGGCTAGGTATTTCCTGGTACTAATAGAACAACATTCTTCCCTTGATAGATAGTCTACCTCAATATTCATGTCCTTCAGATTATTTTTTGAAAACTTAATTTCAAAATCAAATTTCATAGTGTAGGGCTTATTTATAGTTGCATACCTTGATAATAGAGAACTCAGCTTATTTCTATAATAATCAATAAAATGATGACGTCAATAGTTATTTACGAACAGAACGTACACAAAGCGTTTGGCATTTTTGCAAAGGAAAGCCTAAAACGGAATTCTCATCTTCGTCATTATCAGCAATGTGCTTTTGTTTTAGTTTTGTGGTCAACATTCGAATGTCAATACCGTAGGTCCCCAGAAGCATTTCTGAAAACTTTCGTACGTTGGCTACGCCTTTATGAAAATAAATTAATGAAAGGCGTCACATGATCTGGATTACTTTCTTGACTATCGCCGTAGTATAACTTTGCGGACTTCTCCTGCGTAACCTTCAATGAAATGGCCGGCATCACGGCATTTTGACGTATAGTGGTGACAGATAGATTTTTAATTACAGAAAAATTCTAAGTCCCCATAATACTTAGTAAAAATGAAACGCGGAGGGATGTGACACCGGTGACAAATATTATCACGTGAAATTTTTTGAAGGTTACGCAGGGGAAGTCAACTTTGCGTCATGAATAACATGAGATTTCCGTTTGTCACGCCGAGTCTTACCTGATAACCAAAACAAGAATTTGTGCTCGTCAAACGTAACACAAATTCAATCTCTGAGCTTCCGGACTTGAATAATGGATCTCTCAATATTAAGTTTTAAATTTATTATTTTCTAGACATTTATATCAAGCACATTACATAATTGTAAAGTAATTATTTCTAAAGCTATTAAATAGAAAAAAAGTTTTTTTATTTGAAAAAAAAAAAAATATAAAGGTATAGCGCAAACCTGTCGCGCAAAGTTATATTTGAGTTTAATTTGGCTACTATCAGATTATTTATCATCATAAATTTCCAATTTTGTAATATACTAAAAAATAAGTATATTAACCAATAAAAGAATGACCTCGATTTTTTATATGTTAAAAATATTTTTATAAACTAGCTCTTGGTAATATTAAATAGCTAATTTTTTTTTTTTTTATGGTTAACAATTAAGTTTCAAAAGTTGCCTGCAAAACCATTTAAAAAATAATTTGTATTTAAAAGCAGAAAGTTTTTAATTAAAGAATATTGACGCTTATTTAATAAAAATTAATTTATTAATTAGTGTCGCTTCAATGTCGGCGTTTTATAATTTCGCAGTTTCAATTTTATAAACAAAACAACAAAAAATATATAACAATAAACGAAAATTAGTATCACGAAGTTATAAAAAGAAAAAAGTTAAGATAACGAAAACGATAATATCGCAAGGGAGAAAGGAAAAGATGTATGTGTGTATTTATGCATAAAAAAAAACTTAAATGAGAACTGTGTGTGTTTAAGGATATAGAACATATTGAACACATGCTAAGAAAAATCCGTTGTATATACAGTATGGAAAAAAATAATTAAAACAACCTTGTCAAAATTGATCGGCAAAGACTAACCAAAATTATCGAAAGCTAGTATGGGCGAAAATTATGATTTTTCGGGTGTAATTGTATCAATATCATATCTGGTTTTTCCAAATTTTATAATAAATATTCTTTAACTATAAATTAATCTTTCCATTCAATTTGATTATAATATCATTACAAAGCATAAATATTTTACCAAATTGTGCTTTCAAATAGTTTTCTTAACGTATAAATTTCAGACTCATGACTTTGATGTTTAGTACAGTCAGAACTCGATATAACGATCCTTTATTATAAAAATTTTTGAAAAAAATCGTTTTATCAAAATTTATAAATTTGATATAACGATTTGTATGTTTTAATGTAGAACAAAAAATTTTAAAAAATCGTTTAAACGAGAATTCATTAAGTGATCGTTATATAAAGAGTTCGTTATAACCGAGTTCTGACTGTATACAATTTTATGTATTAATAGTTATCAAAATACTTCTTATTTACCAAACAATTTTCATATATCAGGCATTCTTTGGGTATTGATCATTTTAGTATTTTATCAGATATAATTATTCTATGAAAATCATACAACGATAGATAAAAAGACCTACGATATAAAATTGGAACGCATACCTTTATAAAATGGTTGTGAAACTCTATAGCATTTGTCAACCTTTCAAATAATTTTTCAATATTAAATCTCCTAATTACTCGTTTGAATGTGGAAAACAAAATTAGAATATGGGTGTAAGTTATATGAAGTAGGTGATCACAGAACAGTTGAATTATTAATTTTTCGACTAAATTTGACGTCTAATATAATATGATAGAAAGAAAATGATTTCCTTGTTCATTGTAAGATAAATCTGTATCTTCATCACAATAATTATCAATTCAAGTATCTGGTTATGTAATATTTTTGTTTAGGATAAATACAATTATTTTTTTTATTTTTTGGAGAAAAAATTCAAATGAATTATTGAATAAAATAAATATTTATGGATCTCTTCTGACAAAGGGTGAATGAGATCGCAAGGAAACATTTTAATAATAAATTCCAAAATAACATCAAAAGAGTAATAAAAACAAGTCACCTTTTTATGTAAGAATAATTTGTGTAAAATCATTATTCTGACGATAATAAAAAATAGCTAAACTTTGTTTATAAAAGTCCTATAGGGTTACGTTTTTATACATTATTATTTATTTCAATTTGAAAACAGTAATAATAATTTGCTGACCGGATATTTTTCCGAAAGATTTGACGATCAACTTATGTTCTATAATTCTTATGTGAAGACACGAATAAAGTTGAATCTCAATAAATAAATTTCTAATGCTTGCTTTCAAGTCATACCTTAAGATGTGTGTCCAAGTACAATCAACAAGTCTTTATAAAATACGAAATTTTACTATGGCTACATATAGGAGCTAAGTTATTAAAATCACCTTACGGGGCCCCATCAACCCAAAATGAGATTTTTTTGATTCATATATTAAATTTATTGATAGTCGATTATCTTATTTAACAAAGCAAGCATCGTTTCATTAATTTGTGTAATATCAGTCAAAAAATCTAAAATTAGATTTTGGAAATGATCAATATTATTATAAAACTCAAAATTTTTTATTGAAAACCACTTTGTTTTAATTTTTTTTTAAAAAAAAATAAACATGAAAAAATAAATTATATTTTTAAAAATTTAATTTTCTTTTTAAACTTTACAGTTGCTAAAAAAAGAAGTTTTATTAAAATCATCTAATAATTTTTGTAATAAAAATATTTGTATTTAAATTTGTTTTTCTAATGAAATTAGTGTCACAAAATCCCGTAGGGTGATTTTAATATGTATTTAATTATAACAATTTAAATAATTATAAAATAGTAAATTTTAATAATTAACTTTAGTATCGTCTTATTAATTAATCCGACTCGATATTTAATAGCTTAGCCCCCCATATGCTAAAATATAAATATATAAAGTTGAGAAAATACCGTAAACCATGCACTGAAAAATTTCTCTTCTCATTGCTGCGCAGTCAATTCTGCGGTAAATCGATAAGGGAAAATACAAAGAACTCATAATCATGCAAAATCGTTTTCGTAAAGGATTTACGGATTTTTGGGGCAAAAAAAATGTGATCTCAATATGTCTTAAATTATTACTTTATAAAGGCATCGCAAAAAATGAAATTCACATACCACACCACATTATAACTATCTGAATTGTAAAATTTAGTGAGGATCTACTTAATGTTCCACATGATTCAAGTCATTATGAAGCAGGTGAATAAAAAAAAAAATGTAATATTTATTTCATGGAAATTCCCGCCCGTGAAAAAACTTTTTTATACCCTGGAGACTAACGCTTGTGATAAAAGAAGTTATTTTACTTTTACAATTTTCATCATATTTTCTATTCAAAGTATATATAAAAGTTTATTTCATTTCTTTATAAAATTGCTATTTCTTTATTTTATACCCTTATTCTTTTATAAAGTTTTTTTAGTGGCTAAAAAAGATGAAATTTCCTCAGCAGCACGTTTAATAAATATATTTCAAACTTGCTTTAACTAATGCAATTAGTCTTTTAACAGACAATTATTTATAGCTATTAATCGAAAAACATATGAAAATTGAAGAACAAAAAGAAATGGCAAAAGTAATAACCAACAAAACTTTTAAACATTTACAAATGGCAGATTACGATGTATTTGCGAAAGAGGTAGCATTTTTGCAGAAGATGTCATAAGGGAATAAAAGGTCACAAAGTATTCGTGTATAAAAAAAAGTCAATGAAAGGCAACATCTTATAGATCTTCAATTCATAGTAATTCAACAAATAAATACTAAATCACATTCGTTGAATTCTTCTGATGATATTCAAAAGTAATTTCATTTTAATTAAATAAATATTTATTTTCTTATATTTGTAGCATACCCCAAACAGAAATGCTAGAATAGAAAAAAGTGAACTTACTCAAAAGGTACATGATTACCTGTCTGTATAAACCAAGCAATCTGTAAATCACGGGAGATCAATAGTAAACATATGATAAATTTATATACTGAACGCTATTTTCGTTGATCGATGCCAAAATTTACGCATTTGTAGCATAGTAAATTAAATATTGAATTAACCGCTATCAGGATTTATCGATTCAGTCATTTCAAAATTGGACAAATATGGTAATCGAATCGTCTAATGGCATGCTTATCACGGAATTACGATATCGATAATCATAGTATATGCTTATTTGAAACAAACAATGTCGAAAAATATAATAATATAAATATTCGCCCGCTTGCATTTACCTTGCGAAAATTATAAAAATATTTCTACTATTAAAATCACAAGAATCATGTCTCATCACATCGACGTTTTCGATGAAAGCGAAATGATTCAGAATGTTGCTTCTGTTCATTCGAATTCATTGGATACAATCGAAAGTCACAAAATAACAAAATTATCAATATCACCAAATTCAACGTATATAAACAAGAAATCAAATTTTTTGAGTTATGGAATGTCGTCGGAGCAAATAATTCACTCAATAAAGTTGCCAGCATGACTGTAAATGAGGATATTCGCGACTTTAAGGTATCCGATAAAAAGAACATTATATATCAAGTTGCAAATGATGCTAATGGTGAGGCTTAACTTATAATTCAAATATATAAACAAATTCTTGAATGCTGATTAATTTATCATGTCATGTTTAGTAAAATTCTACGATTTGGAAAACAATAAAGAAATAAAGAACGACATTTATAATAACCGATTTGAATACAAATATACTAACATTCTTAAAAATGGAAATTTTGTATCATTTAGTGCACCCAAAGTTGTTACTTATGCACCTTCAGATGTTCGAACTATATCTTTTTATGAATTCCTGGAAAAAATTAATTATGGCGGCGTTATAAACGATAAGATGTGGTTGACATCATATGATTCGATATTTTTAATGGATTTAATTACTTTTCAATTTCAGATGGTTCCCCTTTTTGTAAGTATAACTTTTATCATATGATTATTATTATTATAATAAATTTGATAATAATGTATAATTTATCATTATAAAAAGGAAATGAACCTAAATACTAAACAAATAGACTTTAAATTTTCTGAAAATTTATTAAATGAATTGATAATGAAAGTCAATGATACATATCATATTTATTCCAATAATGTTCCAGTTGGAAAGATTACGGATGCAGGTATGATTTCATATCACTAGTATTCTTCTGATCCCTAATAATATTAATTTTATTTAATTTGATTAGACGCTCGAGAATTTGATTTTGCTGGAAGTAATGATGAAATTCTGATTACATTAACAAGTGTTAACACCATCAACATTTACTTTTGGAAATCAAATATAAAAAAATCAATTTACTTCAGTGAATTATTTGGATCTGAAGATCAATTTAAACTTTTTGAATTTAGAGGAAAAAAGGCCTTTGGAATTTGTAATGAAGAACCTCGGATTTTTGATATTTCAGACGATTTGAAAAATCACATAATTAATGATAACATCGAAGATAATGAGTTACTTTTTTCTCCTGCTTTTTCTGGCTCTAGAGCAATTTGGTTTAAATCTTCCCTTAAAATTTTCAAGGTCTATTTCAGAAATCAAAGTCATCTTAATGATTTAGTTGATCCATCTAAAAGTAATGAATTAAAAATCAATCATCTATTAAGTTCAAAGTATTATTTCACATTATATGGAGAAATAATATTTAAATTAGCAATAAAAAACGATAATATAGATTTATTAGAAAAGATTTTTATCAAGACCTTTGAAATTTTTAAAGAAGATCCACAAAGCAATATTTACATATTATCAATAATATGTAACAATATTCCATATTTAAATTACAAATATTCTGATTTTATTTCAAGATACTATAATGAAACGTCATTCATTACCCTTTTTTCGAAGCCAAAGATTATATATAACCAAGGTTTCTTTGAACATCTTCATTCATTTAGCATGGAATCAAACATCACTAAATTGCCCCATAAAAAATTTCCTTCATCTTCGATTGAATATAAATTTATGGTTTTAGTTTCCTTAGCACATTTCCTTTCATTTCTGGGAATGTCTTCTTTGGTATTAATTTATGGAACACATGTAATTTATCAATTTTTAATGCAACTCCTTTATTAATGCCATTTGATTTACCATACATTGCTTTTCCCGTACTAATATTTACGTTACAGATTATTTTTTCAGACAATTCTTTTGATGTAGACTTTTTAAATATTATAGCAATAGCTGTATTTATAATAATGATTTATTTCTTTAAATTTTCTAAAAAAAATTATAATATACCCAAAATTTTATTTTTAATCCCATATCCTTATTATGTTTCGTATCCTCCCGATTATAATTATAATAATTGGTTTAATGAAATATTTTGGCCTCAATCCAGTACATTTATAAAAGCAAATGATATTGAATTTTATAAAACCTGGGATGGTGAAGCTTTAATTAATTTTAAGTGGAATGTATTCGGAAGAAATTATTATGCAGGAATTTGGACATTATATTTGATATTTATTAATTGCTTCGTAATTGCAACAAATACTGATAAACTCAAACGAAAGATTTGGTCATCATTATCTCTTTTTTTGGGTCTGTTTCAACTTTTATTTGAAATTCGTCAATTTATTAGAGGTCCTAAGAAATGGATGTCAAATATTTGGAATTGGTTTGGTATGTATTGTTCATTTTCAATCAAATACAAAATAAATGCAACTATATCTTTAATACTTTTAAACACAGATTTAGGTGTTTATTTATTGCCTACATACGTAACAATCATTTGGCTCATGGATAAAGATAATGAATCCATAAAATATCTAGTATCAATTGCATTTCTTATACTTGATATTAAATTTATACTTTTCCTTCAAGTATTTGAATCATTTGGGGTTTATTTTGCTATTATTAAAGGTGTATTGCGAAAAATTTTTTCATTCCTTATCATTCTTTTTCTTATTATCATTAGTTTTGCGCATGCATTCATGATTTTATTAGAACCAAAAGAACAATTTGGTATAGAAAATTTGGGAGATTTAAATGATAGCAATAATCCTTGGAAACTTACAGAAAAATACCATCAAATTTCTGATGCACCAGATGGAAAATTTATTTCAAATTTTACTCTATATAAAGAACCTGATGACCATACAAATTTATTCACAAATTATTTCAGTTCCCTTTTTGCGATGTATCTATTCTTATTATCAAATTTCTTTGATTATTTATTATTCATTAGTTAAACATTTGTTTAATTTGCATTCTTCGCAGGAAATAATCCACTAGGTGCATGGTCTTTTGAAGAAAATATTGTTTTGACTATATTGATGGTTTTATTTTCATTAATAGTTGTTATATTCCTTATGAATTTATTTATTGGACTATTAAATAAGGCGATTGATGATGGAGATGATCGAGCACATTATATTGCACAAAAGGCAGAGGTTAGCAGAGTTTTGTATTCTGATAATAATATTCACGATTTATCTTACTTTTCTTTTATTCTTATTCTTTTGATTCAGTTGCTTAAAAAAATTGAATTATTTTATTTGCTACCACATCAAAGACGTTGGAAATCATGGTTTCCAGATATCGCGTAATTTATTATTTTTCCTCCTATTCCTTTTGTTTCCTTTCAAAAATGAATTAACAAGTAATTTCATATTTTTATAGTTTCTATTATGCTGATGTTTATGAAACGCGTCAAACTGTAAAGAAATTAATTATTGACAATACTTGGAATACAAATAATCTCACTGAAATGAAAAAATCCCTTCTAAATTGTCTTGGAATTGAATATAACAATTCTTTATAAATTATTTATTATACCATCTTTTATTTCTTATATTAATTTAATAAAATCTTTTTATATTGTCTAAATAAATTGATCGAGAATTTAAATAACAATGAATAGTTTTATTTAAAACGTTGAATCTTTTAAGTAATCTTCACTTTAAGGACAATAAAGTTGACTAAGTATAATAATCGTTAAATATCACAGTTCAAGAAAAGGAAAGTGGAAATAAAAAGGAGAGAAACAAACGGCAGAATTGCTATCGCAGTAATGCTCCAATTAGCACGTAAGTGATCGAAAATAAAACTTTCTAAATGCAATTTTAATTATAGTTCCGTTAGAAAGTTGGGTAAAGTTAGTAGATAGTTATTTGAGAACTATAGCAATGAAGATTCGTTAAGGAGTTGGGTAAAGTTGTTAAGCTGTTTATTCGAATATTATTGCAGGTTAATTTTCGATATCTTTGATATCTTTGTAATCCTCCTAAGGTGATGTTAAACTAGTAATAGTTCATCATAAATAATAACTAAATTATCTACTTGAATCAACATTAAAATGAAGTAGTTGTTGTTTGAATATTTGAAGATTTAGTTCATGATTATTCAATTGACCATTTTCTTTCATGCACGTTCTTGAAACCATTCCATTTAATTTATCAACCACTTGATTCATTTCTGGTCGATTGTCTGGTTCATTATCCCAACAATCTAAAAAATACATTAGTTTTAAAAAAAATTGAAAAAATTATTATTTTATCTTTTTAATTAATTTTGCCTTTAATAAAAAATTTGGCAAAACGTTTTGATGGGTTTCAATTTCGATGCCTGTCGAAACCTCCAGGTTTTTCCGGGCAACCTTATATTTTGATGAACCAATAGGTTGTTAGAATGCTATTTTATATTTGTACGGTTTTGCATTTATATTGGTTAACGTCACTTTGTGACATTAACCAATGTAAATACAACACCATATTATCGTATTGCTAATGCAGATCATGCGTTTAAGTTTAAGTTACAATATTATACTATTATAAAATTTTTTAATATTATTTAAAATAATAATTTTATGATTTTTGAAATAAAGTTTCAAATGATAATTTGGAAAAAAATGGCAATTTCTTCTGCGAAATTGGAAAGATTAAGAATACTGGAATATTCTACTAATAATCGGATACGTGCTATAGAAAAATTTTGAGCTAATAATAATTATGAAGGAAAACTAGAGGATATATCTGATTTAAAAGCTATAGATTCTCAATTATCACAATATTTGGCAGCAATGAAACAGCAAAATGGCAATGAATATTCTGTCACTTTCATTCAGTCATATCAAATTGCAATTTTATTTTAATAAATTTTAATTTTTTATTATCTATGATTTCTCAATGAAAATATCAAAAATGGATGATTCAAAAAATCTACGACAACCATTATAAGAAATTGATTCTAACAATATTAACTTAGAAAATACTATGAATACTAGTAATTTAGTTGATTGATAAATAGTGGAGTTTTACAACAGGTTAATTTGAAACTTTACTATTTTTTGCTATATAGCAATGTTGAACAACGATATACTATTGATGAGATGATCAATATTGTATTCAAATAAACTATTAATATTTATATAAATAAATATTGGTCCAACAAACTCAGCATGATCCTAAAGGACCGTGCGATAATTATAAGAGATTGTATATTATTGTTATTTTTTTTTTAATAGATATATTGTACCTTACCATATCACGATGTATAATTCCTTCATCACGTTACGACATAAGCCAATTGAAATGCCAATTTATACTTATCAACCCAATTAAGTTTATCAAAATTTTCCTTCAAATAGTTTCGAAGAGTACCGCCATCAGCATTTCCTTAAATTAATCTTATAGGAGAAAGTGTTATTAAAAATTTTATCGTACCTTTATAGGATGATGTGATCCCATAGAAACGAATAATATTATCATGAAAATCAACTTTATTGAAGAGTAAGCTAAATGATAACAAGCTTTATTAATTTAAAACGCACATATCGCGGAAGTTAAAATCATGCAATGTATTTAATTTTTACCTTATGAACAATTTCTATAAATGCAGTATTTTCGAGGTTATGAAAAGATTTCAATGCAAAATGTATGAGAATGTTTCCAATTCACACGAAAATCTTTTCCAAATTGCTCCACAGCCATTTTTTTGAAAGTTGCTAAAATGATTATACTCGAAATATTTAATATGGTTTTTAGAAATAGCTTCTTCAATCCAATTCAACAATTCATTTAAATTATTGACGCTTTGAATAGTTATTTTTTTTTTATATTTTGATATTGTATAAGAGCGACCTGATAAAAATTTTCTAGAAAACTTTTAAATTTTTAAGTCACTTTTTTTTTATTAGCATAAAAATAGTGCCTAACCTTATATGTAGGAAATTAGTTACTAATAAGGTTTATTCAGCATCATTCGTCATGCCCTATTTTTTGTAATCATTTCTATATTTAGTATATTTAGTATACCGTCGACAGGAGGTATCTTTTATTATTTTTATCGTTATTTTACTATTTTATTAGTAATAAAATAAGGCGTCGATCAGGGTTTCGAGTTTCAACATTGGGACGCAGCTATCTTTTTAAAATGATCATGATTTACACAACTACCCCATGGCCAGCATTATTGAACTTGGTGACAAATAGAATTTTTCACTAAAAAAATTCTCTGTGAAAAAACGGAGGGTGAGACAACGGGTGAAAAATTATATAGGGTTACGTGGGGTGAAAAAGTGTTGGCGATACTAGAGCTGTGGAATATGTCCAGTTTTCTAATTTTTATTATTTTCTTTAGATTCTTTTTCAAATTTGTCTGAGATTTTTTTTTTTTTTTTATTTAGAAAATTTCTTTGGATAGCTGCGTAAGTTTATTTTGATTTATTTTTTTTAATTAAATTTTTTTTTTTAGCATAACACAATGGAAGAAAGCAGACTCACCAATTTGTTAAATTGTTCAATTTCTGTTGTTTTAACAAGAAACCTTAGTTTCTCGATAAAGACAACCACATCGTGTAATTCGACTTGGCGTTGAAGAAGAGTTGCGTCCTTCGCATCACGAAAGATATCTGACAGGCACCACTTCATTTGATTTTCACTAGAAAGGTAGGATTATTCTTTTAGATTTGGTATATGATATCAAAACATGAATTTAAGGCATTAAAGCATACTAATACTTTTCTCTAAAGTCAGAATTCGTGCGTTTTTGACTTTTATTAAAGCCTTAATAAGGGGCTCTTTGGTAGTATCCATGAAGACACACAAAATCTTGCCACAGCAAAGGGCGATCTTTCGTCGGGATAAAGAGTAGTTCATTTGGAATCAGGAAATGCGCTGTAGGCAGGAGCATTTTGTTAAGTATCTTCTTTAACATATTATTTCTTATTATATGCTAATAATCTTATAAATAATATTTTATTATTAAAAATAAAAAATTTAATCCTTTATAAGATTTATCAGAGTTTCGTTGGTATTGTGAGAAAGAACTGATTGTACTGACATTGTATGAAACAAAATATTGCCCCAGTCAATTTGTGGTGTAATATTTTGAGGTCATCCAGGTACTTGGTATCAAATAGGAATGGTAACGGTCGGTCGTGGTCGGTCAACGGTCGGTCAAGGCTTTTGACCGACTGACCGGTTAACTGACCGATTTTAATTGACCAGTTGACCGATGGTTAATAGTAATATAATTGAACTAATAAAAATTTTAATATTATAATTTGATTCTTGCTTTAACGTTAACAATTATAGCATGGCATTTTTTAAAACTACTTCGACATTTTTAGTGGCGCAGCATTATCGGAATTTTAATTTTTTTTTTTTAAAATTTCAAAATTTAATTAAAATAATATGTTGGTTTTTTTAATTTACAAAGTGTTTCAATGATTAAACATGGTTGTTTAATCTCAAGTCAGTCGGTCAACCGGTCGGTCAAAATCAGTCAGAATCGGTCAGTTGGTGAACCGGTCGGTCAGAAGCCTTTGACCGACCGATATCGGTCACGGTGAAACCGTGATCCGTGACTGCGCTACGGATAAGTCATGTGATCAAAATGATCAACATAGTTGACAAAGTTGACGAAGTTGACAGAGTTGTTAAAGTTGTCAACGTTGATCAATTGGACATATTTATTATATTTATCATATATATCATATTTATCATATCTGTTATATTTGTTATATTTGTCATAGTTGATTTTATATTATTTTA